ATAAATGGATGAGGGTAAGAGGGGCCCAGTAAGGAATCAGCTACAGAGGCTGCTATTTGTATAAGGTAGTTAGGTGTGGCCTTTTGATAAAGTGGGCGTCTGAGCAGAGGCCTGCATTAGGTGAGAGAATGAACCATATCCTGTATAATAAAAGGCTAATATGCAAATTGACCGGCGGAACGACTGATTGCTATGACGCACACTAACCACCAGGGGGAAGACACTCAATGCAGGAGCTGCCCCCTGGTGGTCAGTGTGCTCCCACAGGGGGAGCACCGCTCAGCTAGAAGCCGGGCTCACAGCTGGCCAGTGCAGCAGCGGTGACAGAGCCTCCACAGCAGCGCTAAGAATGTCCGACTGCTGGCTTAGGGGAGCAAGCCTAAGCCGTCAGTGGGACATCCCCTGAGGGGTCCTGGACTGTGAGAGAGTGCAGGTCAGGCTGAGGGACACCCCATCCCCCCGCCTCCGCATCAATTTTGTGCACTGGGCCTCTAGTAATTGTAGACAGAGGAAACAGCAAGTAAAAGACCCAGGTTCAGAAGCTTGCTTAATGAGTTGAGAAATAGGAAAAAGGCTAGAACTGAGTTATGGGGGAGAGGGCGACTGATAGTGATGAGGTCAGAAAGTTGGAGGTGGGATGGGGAGCATGTTGTCATGATGATGATTTAGGGAATATATATGAAGTGGGCAAGTATTGGGAACGGAGCAGAGAAGTGATAGGATCCTACTTCCATTTCAAGAGGACTACTGGAATCTATGTTGAGAACGGGATTTAGGAAGGTAGTGTAGAATTAAGGACATCAGTCAGTTCTTAGAGAGATTGGGGCCCCTCCCTGTATCCACACCCCCTCAGCCTTCGCTCCTGTGAGATGTTGAAAAGAACTAGCAGGTAGAGGGGATAATGGAGTACGGTTTCTGAGAGCATGAGAGGACAGGCTATGGCACATACAGGGAGGGAATAGGAAAACGGGAAGACTAATAGGGAAAGAACAAGGAAGAAATGATGACTGAAAATAAAGTTGATATAGTTTCTAATAGTTGTTTTTTCCTCTGTGAAATAAGCAGCCCTTTTCTGAGACTGGGCGGAGGAATGATAGAGTCAGATTTTAAATGGAGTGAAAGTTTAAGAGTTGTTGCAGACAGTGGGCAACTGGTTGGCAGCAGAATATAATAGTACAGTGATATCAGTATGTCTTGTTTTTATCGGAACTTCTTAGCAGCGCTCTGAAACTGGAAAGTTAAAT